ATTCTGACACATTCTGGTGAACAAACTGACATTTGGGCTTTTTGCGTACCTCTTTCATCCTGAGGAAAGCGTGTACAACTATCTGTAGGATGTCCTTCATATATGTTGAATTCTCCATTGCAACATTGATGATGGTGATATCACTCAGCCCCACAACAAGTGTTGCAAGCTCATTGTCGTGCTCGTGGCTATTGTCCAGTTGTGCAAGTTCTGGTGACTTTAAGCCCTCAGTGTCAATGATCACCATGAAGTCACAGTTGAGGTCTTTTCTGACATCTTCATTGATTTGAATCAGCAACATAAAGGTACCTCGAGTGCATCGACCACTGCTGACTGCAAACTGCACTCCAAACATGGTGTTGAGGAGAGTGGACTTTCCTGTGTTCTGAACTCCAAGAACTGTGACTACCAGGATCTTGTTCTTAGGAGACACCAAGTCATTGAGCTGAGAGAGAACATCACTCACCCATCTGAGAGGTATGTTGGATGCTTCTCCATCTACAAGCTCAAGTGGAAATCCAGCAAGCATTAATTCTGCACATAGCTTGGGGAGATGCTGTAGTTGTTGACGTGCTGGGTCTGTTTCAGGAAGGGAAAGGGAAGCTTCATAGATCTGGCCCATTTCACGGAAGAAGTGTTCAGTCCCTAATGAGCTGTTGGAAAGTTGTTCCTCAATCTCCTTGATCTCATTTTTGTTCTCAGAGTTTCTGCATTTTTCTTTGTACTGCTCCCTGAGGTCAAAGAGTTTTTCCCGAGACACGTTATCGAGGTTCATTCGCATCCATTTCAGGAAATAGCACCTCTCTATCCCTGGGCTTGATATTGCATTGATGAAACATGTCATTGCCTTTGACAAGTCCTGAGAGTTCTGTTTTCTCCGAAGTTCTATTTTCTGTCGCTGAAGATTGCTTTTGTACTTTTCTATATTTTCAGACCCAACTTCCCGAAGTCGCAATTCTTCCTTCTCTAAGCGAGTGACGTCTTTCCATATGTGTCCTTGCAAGGGAAGCTGAGCTTCTTTGTATTCAAGAATGTCTTGAATTTCTGCAGTGATGGCATCTGCGTTTTCCTTCGCAGTCTGGCAGTCTGGAGAGTCTTCATCAACACAGATTCCATGTTCATGTGCAATGTCAGCCATCTTCTCAATTCCCATCTTCACCTTTGTGTTTTCAAATGCATTGCTGACTTTTTCCCGCAAATCTTTGACAAAGTTTGCATCATTTATGTGCTTATCTTTCAAAAGGATGTTGCTCTTGGTTAAGCTCAACTTGGTTGCTACCTTTTTTACAGCATCTAATTTGAAATCTTTGCTTTGACGGTTGCCCACCAAGAAGATCTGTGCCTTGTGTTGTTGGTTGGTTAGCAGCTCACACTCAGAGTCCAAAGCGTCAAAGAACACAAAAACTGCTGCAGATGTCTGACACAAGAAAGAAAATTGTGTTTCAAATGAAGCAATGTCCCCACGAAGGTTAGCTACAGCAACTGGCTCGCTGAAGACGTCCATGTTTTTGTTCCCACAAGGGAGGTACCAAGTCATTTCAACTAATCCATTGGATATTCTCCTTGGACTGTCACCACCCTCCATGTTACGGTGAACAAAGGTGTCATGGTACTGCTGAGAGTTGCTCAGAAGCTTATTGAGGATCTCTGACTTGGACAAGGAGCACTCACCCAGTCTCACAAAAGATATCATTGGAAGTTCAGAGACAACAATTCTCTCTTCAATAAATCCCTTGGATTCTGAAAGTGACGGAGGTCTGTACTTTTTAACAATGTCTCTCATGGCCCAAAGCATGAGTGTGCACTGCTTTGTGTCACAGTTGGGAAGCAACAGAGGCACGGAAAACTGACACATGGACATTTTGAGGGCCATTTCCTGCTGTACAAAACCATCAGAGCACAGGAAGAGAGCAGTGATTATGTCAAGGGGATTCAGTGTTTCAACTGAAGGTGTTTTTTTGTCTAAATCATCAAGACCATCTGTGTGATCCTCACAGTTGGACTTGTGTGCAGGTGTATATTTCACATTCCTAGCTGTCACATTAACCATCATTAGTTTCTTCAGAAAATACCATGGAAGATCCGAATTACACTTGGCAGGTTCATCTGTAAAGGTCTTCTGGTCAATCCTCAGAAGTGTGCTTAGGGACAGCTTCTCTCTGTAGTGGTGATCCAACCCCAGATCCTCCAAAAACTTCTCTAGCTGCTTCTCTGTAGAAAATAAAAACAATACATATAAAAGCCTTAATTGATTATTAAACATTCATAAGCATGGATCAACATTTATTATAACATTTTTCCTTTCCTATAGTTTATTAAACTACAACTATGATGGGCAGTCAATTATTAAACAGCTGGTCTAATAGATGAATCCAGATCCTTCAACCACACTAGAATCAAATTAAGAGATATACAAATCTAATTGGCAGATTGCAATGGAATTGTCAGTGAAAGGATTTGAAAGAAGAGATTGAGACATCATTTGCATCAAATTACAGCAGGTTTATACAAATGCAATACACTGTTTGACATTGGCAGTGATAGGTGAACATTGAAAGAAACTATCGTTCATGTCTGTCATGATCAATCATATCCAAGATATATATTATGCATGGTTTAAGGAAATATCCACTTGAAAAGGAAAACATATACACTTGTTTGCAATGTTACTGTGCAATAGTCATTTTATGTAAAAGCACATTTTTTTATAAATGTCTCAGCATTTAATTGTTATAAGGTCTCAATACTTTAATATATATATATATAAAATATAATATTTTGTTGCCATTTATTGGTTGTCTTTTTTACCTGCTATGCCACTTTTGCTGTAACACTGTACATTTCCCCGCAGTGGGACTAATAAAGGAATTCTGATTTTGATTCTGATAAGTACGCATACAGAAAATGTGTGAGCCAGATTAGCAGTAAGCATCATGTGTGCTATACTGGCAGTAATATATATATGACAGCTTCATTAACATGAAGAAAGGCTGTTGCTGAGAAAGTTGCATTTGCTTGAAAAACAAGAAGCTAACCTTGAAGCAATAAAAACAAATCTTAGAGTGCTAATGGAAAAGCTTGAGCTTCAAACTGATACAATAACAACCATGGAAGCCCTGGAGTATGGTGGAGGATGATAATATATTTGCTGTGGTGGAGCAATACTGTACTGGTCAACCACATGAAAATGCTGATGTTCATAATGAAGAGGAACAAGAAAAAAAACATAAAGCCAAACTCCAGCCAAGTCACAATCAAATAGCAAAGAAAGAGTGACTCGATTTAAGTAATGCAGCACCAAATCAAAATGACTGAAATGCTGACAAAGGAGCAACGCTTAACATTACATCCATCCAGAGAAATACCCATCTTTAAAGAATATAAATTAGAGTACCTTCCATTTATTGAGATGTTTGTCCAAGCTAAAGACTTGGTGAGAAGGTTTCCATAAATGAATTCTAAAAAGGACGAGAAAGCCAAGAGATTGCTCGAAGAGAACTATGGAAATGAACTCTTTTGCAGCAGCTTGTTTGGAGAAAGGTCAAATTGGAATGCCATTAACAGTGAAGATAGAAAAGCACTGCTCAATTATACTATTTTTCTTTAAATATATTTTAACTCAATGGAAAATATTGATACCTTCCTTTAAACTCAGGGAAAAGTGTAGAACTGCAAATTCATAGATTCAAACAAAATGAAAAATTCAATGTTTCTAGTTTTGGTTGATTTCATCAAAAGACATGCACTGATGGTTTTAAAGAAATTAGTTTTGCAACAGAAAGTGCAGGTGCACACATAGAAATGCAAAAGAGCAAAACATGTCAGATTTCCAAAAGACAGAGTTACGCCAGAGCTACCACCATACATGTCAGAGTCAATGACTTTGGCCAACTTGACAACACTTGATGAAAGCCCTTCAACAGTTATGTGCGTGTACAAATGATCAACAGCCGACACACATAACTACAGTGCCAAATGTTCCAAATGACTTTGAACCTCTATCACTCGACCACTTGCTCCAGCTCAAGGTCAAACCAATGTTACCACCAGGTTAAATCCATCTGCAATATTCAGAGCCAAAACACTGTTGGCAGCAAGTGAAATGCATAACGGAGTTCTGGAGCAGATGGATCTACGACTTTGCAAGAAAGACCAGAATGGAATTGCATTCAAAGAAACCATATACCTGGACATACATGTATTGATCATAAACTGAAATGCACTTCATTGATCCTGGTTAATGGCAAAAGTTCTGGAGACACCACCCAGATCAAGAGGTCTGATTATTTTTATGACCGAAACAAACATGCTGGAAAGACCAGTAAGCTAAGTTATCTCTCTGGTGCCAGTCTCAGAATAAGGCAAATTAACATTCACAATTAGAATGTAGTTTTCAAAGGCTGAACCTTTTGTATCCGGCTCCTTTTTTGTTTTGTTAACTTTTATTAAAGATTCCCAATACAATTTGTTTTGTGCAGAATGCCAAAATAATATTTTCACCCGGTGGCGACCTCTAGAGTCAATTAAAAAGAAAGACTACAATTCCCTAGCACAAGCTTATTGAGATACTCATTTATGGGCTGATGTGGCAGAGTTCTAAACCGCTCAATTATTTAACGTTATCATCTTACAGTTAGCACATCTTTTAGTTTTGTTTTGCCTCTTTTGTTTTTATAGTAAACCATGCAATAACGATTATATTTGACTGACCTTTGGGGGCAGATGGTGCAGTTGGCTTTCTTAATGTTCCATCAGCTTTCTCAAATTCACCAGCAGGTGGCTCAGGATGCAGAGGCTCTGACTCCCTGCTGAGCTGAGTGCTGGGCTCTGAGGAAAAAAACAGAAAGCTTTCAGTAAAACTTAAAAAATGAATGTTCCATGAATGTTTGTCAGCATTTTAAAGTGCTGTTTGACTGACAAGGAAAGGCCAAAAAAAAAGCCATATATATTTATCCAAAAGATCCAGAAACAGGTGGCATTGATTACATTTTCAGATTTACCTGTGAAGACAGATAGCGAGGTTGCTTCGCTTTGATTTCCATTGTCTGCAATCTTTTTGAAACTGATGGTACACTCAGTCCCGCGAATCAGTGCCTTAACTGTGACAGTTTCTGCGTTATCAACAGTCAAACTGCCGCTGTTTGTTTCACAGCCTGAGTAATCTAACTGTAGTCTACACCCAGCTACTTTCCCTGGTGGAGGAACATCTGTCATAAGACAAGGAAAGTACATCTCAGTATCTTTACATATCACTGCGTATATATTTATAACATTAGGTCAGTTATTGACAGTCACACTTACGGTCAGACTGTGGTGCTGCTGGAGTGTTCTTTCCTTCCTCACAGCACGGGTCAGGAGAGGGATCTGTTTCTTCATGATGTTCCTTGGTAAGTGAGAACATTACAGTATGTTTGCATTCTATTTTGAACGAGTCATACTATATTAATAATTGTTAGTTAAATAACCTTAAAGAGGTGGATAGAGACATTTCTTTGTATCAGAATACAGCAGGTTGATGAAAATGTTCTTTGCACTGAGATTGGACATTGGCATTATGCATAGGTGATCATTTAATAAAAATCAGAATGGGTGCTGTCATGATCAATCATATTACTTAGAACCACATATCCTGTGACGCTCACAGGGGAGGGCAGGAAACTGTATAAATACTTATGCTTCAGACCTATGAGGGGTCAGCTATTCTAACCTTAATTTAACTATTACGCATTTCACTATACTTTTTACCAGTGCTGAAAGAAGTACTCAGTAAATATTAATACAAAAGTGTATATTTACCAGTAAGTAAAATAGTGTACAATAGTGTGTACCAGAACACTGTAGCTCTTCACTTTATATAAAAGTACCTCTCAGTATCTCCACAGCAGGTATATATTTATTACATTAAATCAGTTATTAACAGTCACACTTACGTTCGGACTCTGGTGCTGCTGGAGTGTTCTTTCCTTCCTCACAGCACGGGTCAGGGAAGGAATCTGATACTCCATGATGTTCCTAGGTAATTAGGAAGAATATGTTGAATTTTTGAATTCTAATCAATACATGAATCATGCCATATTCACAATACTTAAATATATGACAATATTTCTCTTGTAATTCTATTGTAATTTAATTATTTACCTCCACATCATTGTTATCCATTGCAGAAACACTCTCAGCCATCCCACAAGATTCTTCAAACAGCGTCTCACTGAAAGTGTTAGAAAAGAACTGTGTTACAACATCTAATCTAATGTAGATTCTACACCAGGCACATGCAGAGGATGAGAGGGGACAGGGCTCAAATGCATAAAAGGGCACATAAGGAAGTCCCTCCCTTTCCGGTGGACCTCCATGGGACCTTATTTAGGAAAAATTATGTATTGAAGTCAATAGATGAGAGTAACACCTACGTCACTTCCGGGCGAAAATGACGGCCCGGCCCACTTTTGGGGGAAAACAACGCTGTCATTTGAATGACAGTACAATACAAATTCTGAAGTTTTTGCCAATCCGATCAGAGATGTATTAAAACCGTGGATTTTTGGATCTTCAAAGAGCCCGATTACGATGGCCAGTCAGGCAAACAATTACATTAAATCATTTGAAATCGACGATCGGGCTCGATATATCGTTAAATTCAAATCAGTAGGCGAGGCCGTAATTTCGCCAGCTGTTACTTTCATGAGCGAGGCGGAAAATAATTGTTTTATCATGCCAAAAAGCTGCTGTGTCGTTTATTGCACCTCAAACATGAAAACAAATCCAGAGTTACGTTTTTCTGTACTTCCTCTAAGAAAAAAGGACAGTAAAAGAAGAGCTCTGTGGCTTCAGGCTTGATCGCCATTCAAATTACAGTGTTGTTTCCCCCAAAAGTGGGCGGGGCCGTAATTTTCGCCCTGAAGTGACGTACTGTAGATGTTACTCTCATCTAAGGACATCGATCGCCTACTGCTATATTTAACCATATATCGAGCCCTATCTTCGATTTCCAATGATTTAATGTAATTGTTTGTAATCGGGCTCTTTGAAGATCCAAAAATCCACGGTTTTCTTACATTTCTGATCGGATTGGCAAAAACTTCAGAATTTGAATTGATCGCCATTCAAATGACAGCTTTGTTTTCCCCCAAAAGTGGGCGGAGCCGTCATGTGTTACTCTCATATATGGCGAGAGAAAAATTATCTTTCGATCCCGTTTGAATTGTGCCACGAAGTACACATAGTTTGTCAATTTAAAAGATAATTTTGCAAGTAAAAAAAAAAATGTTTTGCCGTAAACCTTTTTTTTGTGTGAAACCGCTCAATGAACTACATCTCTGGTTTGCACAACACAGTGACTTGCTGCTGACCTGATCGACTTTATTCTGAACATGAGTGCTGGGCTCTGAGGGGAAAAACAGAAAGCTTTCAGTAAAACTTAAAAAAGTAATGTTCCACCAATGTTTGTCAGCATTTTAAAGCATTTTAAAGTTTTAAAGTTTGACTGACAAGGAAAGGCAAAAAAATATATAGCCATATATAATTATCCAAAAGATCCAGAAACAGGTGTGATTGATTACATTTTCAGATTTACCTGTGAAGACAGATATCGAGATTGCTTCGCTTTGATTTCCATTGTCTGCAATCTTTGTGAATCTGATGGTAGGCTACACTCAGTCCTATGAATCAGTGCCAGTGACAGTTTCTGCGTTATCAACAGTCAAACTGCGGCTGTTTGTTTCACAGGAGTAATCTAACTGTAGTCTAAACCCAGCTACTTTCCCTGGTGGAGGAATCTTTACATATCACGCGTATATATTTATAACATTAGGTCAGTTATTGACAGTCACACTTACGGTCGGACTGTGGTGCTGCTGGAGTGTTCTTTCCTTCCTCACAGCACGGGTCAGGAGAGGGATCTGTTTCTTCATGATGTTCCTTGGTAAGTGAGAACATTACAGTATGTTTACATTCTGTTTTGAATGAGTCATACTATATTAACAATAGCTTATGTGACATGTATTTGTAAATGTATTGTCATTTAACGGTTTACCTCCTTATCAGTGTACTCCATTTTTGATACACCCTCAGCAATCCCACACCGTTCAGATTATCCAAACAGCTTCCCACTGAAAGTAATAGGAAATAACCAGAGGTGTAAGAAGTAGATCTTTTACGTAAGTAAAAGTACCATTACTACAATGTAAAAATCCTCTGTAACAAGTAAAAGTCCTTTATTCAAAATGTTACCCTAGTAAAATTACAAAAGACATCAAAAGATACTTCAAGTACAATACGTGAAAGTATACTCATTGTGCAGTAAGGCCCAGTAATAATGAATTTATTAATGTCAATTAATGTCAATGTTGCACTTGGTAGAGGTTGGGTTCATTTTGTATATCTTGATATATACTGCTGGGTGCCTATCATATAATAATACATGATGGTTTATTAGTTTATTTTGTATTCTGTATTATTATTCAACGTCTGCAGAGCAGCTAGTAACTAAAACTGTGAAATACATATTGTTGAGTAAAAAGTTACAAATTGCCTCCAAAATGAAGTGAAGTAAAGTATATAGTAGCACAAAGTGAAATACTCAAGTGAAGTACAGGTACCTCATATACATACTCAAGTACAGTACTTGAAAACCATTCAACACAACACCTGAACACCACAGATCAAACAGCATGTGAACTCTGCAGCCTGATAGATTACTGAAACTGATGAGTTATGCTTCTGTTTGAGACCATGTGAAGCCATAATTTAAAAAGTATTTCAATGAAAGACAAAGAAATGCTTTCCTACCTTTTGTAGATGAACCATGGTAACACGTAAATCTGTTCTTGTATCCAGAGCTTTCATCTGCAGTGTATAGTAGTATAAAGCTCTGCAAGTACACAGCCCTGCCCTTCTCTGCCAATGCAAGTGCCTATGAGAGGTGTCTCCTTTTATACTGCCTTGGGAAGCCACTTTGCATTTTATTTCCTTGAAAAAGAAACGTATTGTTTGGTATCCTCCCTTTCTGAATAATTATTTTCAGTCAACCCGCTCTAGGTCATGATTGTGAAAACAGCTTCTCTCTGAAAACAACAAGAGAGCTTTAATCTCAAGATTCAAAATTCAAAGGTTTATTGTCATAACATCATGTACGTGTATGTATCAAACTACGGTGTAATTATGTAATGTATGAAAAACTTAGATCACAAGTTCCTCAACAGTGCAATTTTTAAGATATACCATTTTTTTTAATAAAAAACAACAATCAAAAATAAATATAGTGCAAGCTCAGGTGTAAAATATTCTTTTGGCCTGTGGGATGAAACTGTCCCTGAGTCTGGAGGTTTTAGTCCGGATGCTGCGGTACCGCCTGCCAGACAGACGGCAGCAGACAGAACAGTTTGTTGCTGGGGTGATGGGGGTCTTTGATACTCCTGTGGCCTTTTTTGACTCTTATAGACTGTACTGCTATTCATATTCCAATAAGATAAAATACCATGTGTCTTAGTACTAGTCTGCTTTCGTTTTTGTTGTGTGCAGACTTTATTGTTGGGTATATCTTACAAAGCCAACCAGCGCCCCTGTAGCAAACGCCTTTCACCCATTATCAGGTATCTGTTATGAGGAACTGACAGCAGTATTAAAATGGGTTTCTGAGAATGATTCCGTTAACAAATACATATTAACATCAGATGTTCAACAGAGCAAGGAAATTGTTGTCTCCTTCATTACAAAACAATTGGCTTGCACAACACCATCTTACCTAGTTTTTTTAAGTGTGCAAATGAAAAAATGTAATTGCAATGTCATTTTCTGTAAAGGTCTTGAAAGAAGTGGAAAGAAACTCTATTTTGCATCTGAAAAAAGCAAGTTAATGAACATGATCCTAATTCTGTGACATGGCATTATTAACAGGTGAACATTTAAGGAAACTAAAAAGGGTGTTGTCACGAGCATATTATGCTTTGAGGAGATCTTGCATAAATTAAAGCTAAGGGGATTTCCAACCTCAGATTAAATAGCATTTATTTCCTGTTGAAACCTGATGTAACCAGTTCTCAGGAACGTTATTCAGAACCACATACTATGTGAAACAACAGGAGAGGGGTGAACACTTTTTAAATGTGCTTTTGACACATTTGAAGTCCCTTCTTTTATGCTACTCCGTTGCACAAGCACAATTACGCAATTTCATTATTCTTGGTACCTTGGAACCATTGTAAAAAAGGAATTGGCATTGATAAAGACCAATACATGCTAGAATTCTTTCTTATAACCTTCTCCTCCTCCTTTCTACCCAACTGACTAAGTAACTAGCACTCTTACAACAGGATATTTTCTACCAGAGAGGGTGCTTCAAGGTTCAAGGTTCTTTATTGTCAATCTGACATAGCTACAGAGTAATTATGCAGTTGAAAATCTTATGTCACAGGCTTCTCCAACAATGCAACATAATAACATAACATAATAACAATAAGAGCAAGAGCAATACAAAAATAATAATAGTTATAAAAATGAAATAAAGTTATGATGTGGAATAGTGCAGTATGAGTCTATATACAAGTTATTGGAATGATATATATATATTAGGTATTAGATACATACTACTGAGTAGCAGTTGAATGTTTGATGTTGTTTCAACAGTTCAATTGTTTAACAGTCTCACTGCCCGCGGGAAGAAACTGTCTCCGAATCTTCTTGTCCTTGCCCGGATGCTGCGGTAACGTCTGCCAGACGGCAACAGAAAGAACAGTTTGTGGCTGGGGTGATGGGGGTCTTTGATAATCCGTAGTGATTTCTTCCTGAGCCGCTGGGAGTAAAGGTCCTCCATGGATGGCAGCTCCGTCCTGGTGATGTGCTGTGCAGTTTTCACCACCCTCTGTAAAGCCTTACGATCGAGGTCGGTGCAGCTGCCGTACCAGGCCGTCATGCTGCCAGTGAGGATACTCTCTATCGTGCACCTGTAGAAGTTGCAGAGTATCCTGGAATCCATTTTGAACCTCCTCAGCCTGCGGAGGAAGAAGAGCCGCTGTCGAGCTTTCTTGGTGATGGTGGTGGTGTGAAGAGACCATGTCAGGTCCTCAGTGATGTGGACCCCAAGGAACCTGAAGCTTTTGACTCTCTCCACCGTAGTCCCATTGATGGCGATGGGGGCGTGTCCCTCTCCCTGCTGCTTCCTGTAATCCACAATCAGCTCCTTTGTTTTGCTGATGTTGAGATGGAGGTTGTTCTCCTGGCACCAAGATGTCAGGTTTTCGACCTCCTCTCTGTATGCCGTCTCGTCATCGTCTGTGATCTGGCCGATGACGGTCGTGTCATCAGCAAACTTCACGATGGTGTTGGAGCTGTGTGTGGCCACGCAGTCGTGGGTGAACAGGGAGTAGAGGAGAGGGCTGAGCACGCAGCCTTGAGGGGCACCGGTGTTAAGAATCAGGGTGGAGGATGTGATGTTTCCCATCCGCACTGCCTGGGGTCTGCCCGTCAGGAAGTTCAGGATCCAGTCGCAGAGGGCGCTGTTGAGCCCGAGGTCTCTGAGCTTGATGGCCAGCTTGGAGGGCACAATGGTGTTGAATGCTGAACTGTAGTCAATGAACAGCATTCTCACATATGTGTTCCTGTTCTTCGGGTCCAGGTGTGAGAGGGCAGTGTGGAGGGTGAGGGCTATGGCGTCGTCTGTGGACCTGTTTGCTCTGTAGGCAAACTGCAGGGGGTCCAGAGATTCAGGGAGGGAGGAGGTGATGAATAATTTGACTAACCGCTCAAAGCACTTCATTATGATGGAGGTGAGTGCTACTGGGCGGTAGTCGTTGGGGCAGGTGATGATTGTCTTTTTGGGGACAGGAATGATGGTGGAGTGTTTAAGACATGTGGGGACTACAGACTGCAGCAGGGACCTGTTGAAGATGTCTGTGAACACCTCTGCCAGCTGAACTGCACACACCCTGAGAACACGGCCAGGGATGCCATCAGGTCCAGGAGCCTTGTGTGGGTTAACCCTTTTAAAGGATTTACACACATCTGCCCTATTTAAAACAAAAGGGCAGTGTAGCTCCTGGTCCCTCTGTACCTCCACAGCCTGGCTGCTCTCAAAGCGTGCAAAAAAACTGTTTAGCTCATCTGGGAGAGATGCGCACGCAGACACTCCCGCAGCACCCCCCGCTGCTCCTTTGTAGTCAGTCATTGTCCTTAGTCCCGCCCACATATTCCTAGTGTTACAGCCTTTGAAGTCAGATTCCACCTTCTCTTTGTACTGTCTCTTTGCATTTTTTATTGCTCTCCGGAGATCATACCTAGACTTCCTGTACTCCTCCAAATCTCCCGCTGTGTGCGCGAGAGTGCGCGCTTTCAGTTTGCCGCGCACCTCACCGTTTACCCAGGGCTTTTGATTTGGGAATGTCCGTACAGAAACCTTCGGTACCACGTCATCGATGCATTTCCCAATGTAGCAGATGACAGTGTCCGTGTGTGTGTTGATGTTATTGTCCTCAAACACACTCCAATCCGTAGATGCAAAGCAATCCTGCAGTGCTGAATCTGACTCCTCGCTCCATCGTTGTACTGTCCTTGTTATCGGTCTGTCCCTTTTAAGTTTCTGCTTGTAAGCAGGCAACAACAGTAGTGAGATATGGTCTGATTTGCCGAAGGGAGGGCGAGGGAGAGCCTTATATCCATTCCGGAAAGGGGAATAAACATGGTCCAGTATGTTTCCCCCGCGCGTCGGGAAGTTGATGTGTTGGTAATATTTTGGCAAAACCTTCTTCATGTTGGCGGTGTTGAAATCTCCGGCCACAACGAACGCCGCATCTGGCCGTGAAGTCTCGGTTTTATCAATAAACCCAAACAGCTGATCGAGTGCCGTGTTGTTGTCGGCGAGTGGCTGCGGCGGGATATACACTGCTGTTATCACAACAGATGTGAATTCCCTCGGCAGATGGAAGGCCCGACATGAGATCATGAGGTGCTCTAGCTGTGCGGAACAGTCCGATGAAATAATCTTCACATCTGAGCACCAGTTGTTGTTAGTCATTACACACACACCGCCTCCCTTACTTTTCCCCGAGTTTGCAGTCCGGTCCTGACGAAAAATAGAGAATCCGTCAGGGACAATAGCGGAGTCCGGGATAGCGGGGTTGAGCCAAGTCTCAGTGAGAATTAACACGTTACAGTTCTTAATGTCCCGTTGAAAAGCAATCCGGCTTCTGAGTTCATCTAGCTTATTTTCAATGGATTGAACATTAGCCAGAAGAATACTCGGAAGAGGGGGCCGATTCTCACGTTTTCTCAGTCTGACCAGCAACCCGGCCCGGCATCCTCGCTTTGTCTTCTTCTTGCGTCTCTCAGGTAGAACAGCAACAGGTAGCCATGGTGAATCTCCATTGTCTGTCGGAGGGTTAATATTGTCCACGAAGTTTCGCAATTGGAAAAGTTCCTCTCTGCTATATTGTATGGCAGAGTAGGTGCGGTCGGCTAGCATGTTGCGAACCATGTTAAAAGTAAAACGGCAAAAGTAAAAGAAATATGTACAAAATACGAAAATGGGCAAAGTTGGAGAGGAGCACAAAGACAATGCGGCCATCTTCACCGGCGCATCTCATAAAACTTAACCTACTCCTGGGCCTCTCATAACAGTTGAGGGTGAGATACTAGAGCAACCCCTACTAGTGTACTTAGGCTGATGTGAACTGGTTCCCCTGTGGGAGCTACGTTACTCTGCAGGCCAGTTCATTCCCTAATTCTTGTGATGGTGCCACGACTAAATATCTAGGCCTAATAAAGGATATCGGTATTCACCTTGGTGGAAGGACAAATCGACAAAGGCTTTCGTGACTCACTTACTTTTCCTTCCTGTGCTTACCATGTGTATTTGCTGAGACTGTTCCTTACATCAAATCAGAAGACTTGTCTCAACTTCACTTGCTTCCTTCTGTTCCTGGAAGCAAAGCCAGTTCACCATAGTTTGGAGCTTTTGAAGTGCCAACCATGGTACAGATAGGGAATGGATGGTGAAGCAGGGTCAGCAGAACCATTCAGATAGAATGGGTTGGATTACTTGTGTTTTTTGGAAGGGGCCTGCC